GCTGCTCTCCTTCAGGGGATTTTACTGAGTGTTACTAAATTGCTGAATATTTAATAGCTAATCATGCTCCAGACCCCAAGGTCTGTCCCCCAAATGATAAGCCTTTTTATTAAATGAACTTTAATTACTTAATAATTAGACCTTCTGTAGAGGAAGATGGGGATCCTGATAGGCTGCCAACCAGGCTGCAGGGCAAATCAGACTTGTGTGCCATTTTTAGATTAGAATTTAAAAGCAGGTCTGGGTGTAATGCTCTAAGACGTGGGTGAAAGGCAGCTAGCCCTATGAGGGCAAGTCCACAGATGCCATGAACCTGAACTATGAAGTGGTTTATTTCTGTGGTTGCCTTAAAACTAGAAGAGCAACGCAAGGGAATCAACTCCAGACTGTTACACTGATTGAACCAGATGTCAATACTGTAATGAGAATTGTCTGTGTGTGTTCTAATATTTAAAATACCTTAGGTGCAGTGAGGAAAACATTGTGATAAATTGCTGACCATGTGATAAATGTGTTGATTATCTCGTATCTACTCATTAGTCCTCTCCCCTAAGCCATCTTATGACATTCCAGGCTTCTGAACAGCTTTATAACGTGTGTGTGTGTGTGTGTGTGTGTGTGAGAGAGAGTGATCCCAAAGTAGACAAAACTTCGTAGACAAAATGGAACAGGAATGTAACATTGTAGAATTTCATCATAAAACTGTACAGACTTGAGGCCTTTGCTGTGCAATATGTAGTTCTGGGCCATTGACAGCATTGGGGTCCAGTCTAGCAGGATCTTAGAGACCTATACAACAGGATTTTTGTATATAACCCTCGGAAAGGGGAAGGTCCCTGCCTTGCAAAGGAAGAGCACATGCTTCTACTTCTGCAAGGAGCCAGGACTTAAAAATGTGGCATTGATCTATGCACAGAAAGCCCGTGATATGTTATTTTAAAACTTGTTTTGAATGGCTCCCTCTGTGCTCTGAAATGTTTGGACGGATAAGAATGAAAGTACTCGTCCTCACAGAGGGAAAAATCTGAAAAAAAAAACTTTAAAGGCCCAATAATGTTTTTAAACTCTGTGAAACATGCTTATAATGTCCTTTCTGTAACAGATATGGGATACAGTAGTGGAGCTTTGAGATGTATGCCTAACTTGCAACTTTGCTTCACATATGTAACATAGCCATCCAACCTGTAACTGAAAAAAAGATCTTATTTCACACAGCACCCATCTGTAGCTGTATATAGGGTAGCATTTCAAAAGCACCTATGTAACTTAGGAGCACAAGTCCCAATGGAGGGTCACTAAGACTTGTATTTTTAAATTACTAAGACAGTTTTGAAAACCGCATGGCTATGTCTACATTGGCAAGATTTTGCACAAAAGCAGCCACTTTTGCGCAAAAACATGCTGCCTGTCTACACTGGCTGTGAATTCGTGCACAAGAACACTGACATTCTAATGTATGAAATCAGGGCTTCTTGCACAAGAACTATGATGCTCCTGCTCAAGAATAAGCCCTTTTGTGCAACTCTTCTTGCGCAAGAGGCCAGTGTAGACAGGCAACATGAATTTCTTGCGCAATAAAGCCCTATGGTTAAAATGGCCATCGGAACTTTCTTGCGCAAGAGAGCGTCTACACTGGCACGGATGCTCTTGCTCAAAAGCACATGCCAGTGTAGACACTTTTACTCAAGTACTCTAACGCAAAAACTCTTGCGTTAAAGAGTATTTGCACAAAATCTTGCCAATATAGACGTAGCCTATCAATATGTCTTTCACCATCTTTTCCATATTTTGTAGGTCGTTATACTGACCTACCCCCTCTTTCTGGCTGTTTTGACTTCACTGAGAGAGCCTGTTGATACTGTTGATGTTGATGATGTGATTGTCATTCTGTCATCTAGCAGGAAAAACTTTTTACATAGAGAGGGAGTTACGTGTGTTTATATACAGTCTAGTCAAGTTCACCACTGAAGTAGGAACATCTCCCTCAGCCTGAAACAGGATCACCACAGTCCCTATATAGTCCTTGTTTAGAAGGGCCTTTTCTACAGCAGAGAGTGGAAAGTCTGTAGTTGCCTGCTCTGCTTTGTGTATGGGGTTGGAAGGAAGACCTCTCACTCTCCTCTTTCTTTGAGGCCACCCCAAACTTGTGGGACTGGATTCCACTCTCCCTCCCCAAACCCATGAAGGGTTGTTGTTTTTTTGTGTGGAGTTTTGAGAAAGGTGTCACTAGGGTTCCAGGTGAAGGGAAGGGTGAAGGGTTCCTCCTTTCCTAGAATAGAGGAATCTGTAACATATGATGGGAGTTGATGGTTTGTACTATGCCTAAAATTCTTAAGAATGTCTGGAATTATTACTTAGTCACCTAGTCTAAGTGATCATGGGTATCAGACTTGGTCCCGCAGTTATTTTGTTTGCCTGAAAAGGAGGCTGGGATTGCTGCAAGGACTCTTGAGAACAACCATCCTTGTTTGTGTCAAAAACCTTGTTCATATGCTCTCTTGACGGACAGGTGTGTTTTGTTTGTTTTTGTTCCCTTAAACTTTAGTGAACCTTGTTTTCTGCTGACACAGATGTCATGGTGGCTTTAAATAGCTTTCCATCCACACTCAATAAATTTTTCATTTAAAACAAAGCTAAAATGGAAAGCATTTAGTGCTGCTATTTTTCAAATTTACATCAACTTTGCTGTGTATGAAAAGCTGTTATGTTCTGTGTCTGTGCCAACAGATTTATTTGAACTGTAGCAGTACTGCGCTTTCTGTAGAGCATGGAAGGGTGCAGCTGATAGCTGTTCACCTGTTGCATGGATTACAAAAAAAACCCCATGTGTTTAATTGCTCTTTCTCTTTTCAGAGCCCCCTCCTCTTCCAACTCCACCTTTGACTCTTTAGCTAAATGTGTAAATATTATATATGTGTTTATACAGCAGCTAGCACAATGGAATCCTAGACCATGACTGGGATGATACACAGTTGTTTCTACCATAGTGTCTCACAATCATTAATGGATTTTATCCTTCCCCTCCCGACACACTTCTCTCTCTGCGAGAGGCAGGAAAGTGTATCTCAGGTGGTGAACTGTGACAAAGGGTAGATTATATGAGCTAGAGCGCAGTCATACAGGAATTGAACTGAATCCCACTCTCACAATTCATTGATTGTATCATATTAGTTTCCCTCTCCTCACTCAATGAAACTTTGACTGACTTTTTACTAGACAAAATTTCAGGGTCCTTATTTTTTTTCCCTTTTCAACAGTGGGTAGCCTCTGACACCAGCAACCACTCCCCTATTTTTTTGAAATACTTCACTCTGTTGACTTTTGAGGCTCTTGTCTCCTACTGGTTACCTCCTACCCCTGTAATTTTCTTTCAATATCTCTGTTGATAGGTTCTTTTCTTCACTCCCTCCTGTTGTCAGGAGGCCTTTCCAAAAAAATTCTGTTTGTCTATGTGCTCTTCTTTCTTTACCTCCTATTTCTAAATGCTGTTATCTATTAGTATGGCTTCAAATTTTATCTTTATACCAATAATTCACAAATCTACACCTCTGCTAAAAATCTGTCTCTGTGCATGCCCTAACTTTGACTGTTTCTCTGGTCATCATTTGACAAGTGAACTCTTGATTGACCTTCCCCTTCTCGCTAAATTTTCTGTTACCATAGAAGTCTATAATCTAGACATTACTTTTGACTCAGGCCTGGACTAAATCTTTCAGCTTCTACCTACAGATCCAGGTTTTTGGTTTGGGGCATGCTTATGCCCAGAATAAGTCAGGTGTACTTGGGTTGGGTACAATAGTTTGATCATCTCATCAAAGACAGGATCATGGTCATATGCATGAGGGGTGGGATTAATATTGCAGTGGTAACCATAAATCTGGCTAGGGATGTGAACGATTAGTTGACTATCCGATAAGCAAATGCTTTTCGGATAGTCGACACACTAGTCGACTAGTCGCTATCAGAAAGAGGCAGCAAGTGGGGCGGGGGAGAGGAAGGAAAGCTTCAAAGCAGCAGTGCTGTGTGGAGCCTGGGGCCAGATCCTGGTCTCCATGCAGCACTGCCGCTTTGAAACACTGCGTGCAGCCCGGGGCTCCCCTGTGACGTTTCAAAGTGGCAGAGTCTCATGGAGTCCCCAGCTGACCCTAGGCTCCATGCAGCACTGCTGCTTTGAAACACTGCAGGGAGCATGGGGCCAATGGGAGACTGCTTTCACCTTTGAAGGGTCACTTCTGATAGCTCCCATATGTTCCTAGTGCTCCTGCCATTGCTGCTTTGAAGGATGCTTTTAATCTTTTGTTTTTATTCCTTAGGGGAAATGGTGATTTTTGTAAAAAACATTCTGTATCTCAGCCACTCCATGGAATTTCATGGAAGAAGCAAAAGATCCATTAAAGGCTGCAAACAACGGTGTTAGAGCATCTCAAAACAGGTTGCAAGGATCCTTCATAATGAAAAGCGATAGACAGCCTAAATATAGGAATTGCTACCTCTCCCTGTAATAACATGGAGATAGACTTCCCTGTTTCACTACAATGAATAATATCCTTTCAAAGGACACATCAGTCATACAGTTTGATGTGAAGCATGGGAGAAAGATTCCATTAGGTGGAATGATGTGAAAATGACAAAAGTTTTTCAATCCTACCTAAATTCAGTGCATCTTTCTTTGAATTTTATTCTGTTGTGAACAGTTTCTATTGCATAAGACTGCATTTGTACTTCGATAAAGTTATTCCTAAAGTAGTTTGTGAATAAATTAGTTGCTCTTTGGTACTTTCTGCTGTCAATAGCATATCTATTATTTTCTTCTTTAAATTACATTAATTAGTGGACTAATGATAATCACTCAGCAATCACAGAAATCTCTAAGTACTTGTCTGAATATCACTTTTTTTTCAGATTGGATGATTAACAAAACCCAGATCAACATAGAAACAGCTTGCAATTTATACTTTCAGTGACTATATAATTGCTTCTGTTTTTCCTTGTGCTTGCAGGACCATTGAGGTATCTTTCCCAGACAGAATCTGTCACAGCTTTTGCAGGAGACACAGTTTTGCTAAAGTGTGAAGTAGTGGGAGAGCCTATGCCAATGGTACACTGGCAAAAAAACCAAGAGGACCTGATCCTGAGCCCTAGTGACACACGAATGGCTATCATGCCCTCTGGAGCTTTACAGATCAGCAGAATCCAATTAGGAGACAGTGGGATCTATAGATGCCTTGCAAAAAATCCTGCTAGTTCAAGAACGGGAAATGAAGCAGAAGTCAGAGTTTTGTCAGGTAAGAACCCTATGCTTTTACATTGCCCTCATATGCTCTCCCAATTACATGTGCCTCGAAAGTTTGTCTTTCACCAACAGAATTTGATCCAATAAAATGTTTCCTTATCCACCATGTTGCTCCTGGCATGTGGGGCTGTCAAATTTTCTTTCCTGTCACTTCTATAGGCTTCAAGTTCTTTAGTAGCATCTGGCTGTGATGGTAAGTAGCTGGCCTCATGTGACTAGGGAAATTTCCCTAGGACACAGTTTGGGAGCTAATGCAATTTAGTAAAAAGTTTGTTCCCGTATCCATATTCATTTTGTATCTACATCTCCTTCTAAGAACCTTTTGGCCTTACAGGTTTTTCACCATTCTGATATTTTCCCATCTAACTCAGGTTTCTTTATTTCTGGAAATATTATCATGAATATCATTGGTGTTTTGGAAAAAAACAACAAATGGTCTGGTAGCAGTTCTGTGTGTCTATAGGCAAATGCCAGCAAAATTCTACATGGACATTAGTCAGCATATTTTTAGAATCCACTGGGAAACTCTCCCCTCCTAGATGGTCATGACCATATGTGACTTTTAGTTAAGCCAAAGGGCACAGTACAGCTCTCTGGAATGCTGGGCTGAAATCTAAGTCTTATTGTAGTCACTGGGCATATTGCCACTGAGTTCAGCAGAGCCAGGATTTTAACCCCTGAATAGATCAGTTCATGCATGGATCTTGTATAAAGGCCTGGCTTACCAAATTCTATTTATTCTCCCCTTTGGGGAGTGGTAGGTGGCTCTGGGAACCATGGCTTTGTTGGGCAGAGTCAATGGGATTTGTGACATTCAAACTTTTTCTGTATCTTAGATTCTGATGCCAGGGCAAAAACTGCTGATTGCAACCTTCCCAGCTGCAGAGCTTTTCATAGGGAAATTCCAAAATCCATTTCAAATTCTTAGACAAATAATTATTTTGAATAATTTATCTTTTGGGGAGATTGTATCCTCAGCTCTGCTTCCTTTTCTGAGTCATTAGCAGTCACTGTGGTCCTGCAGCTAAGGTGAGAGAAGTAAGAGGCAAAAGGAGGCGATTATGTCCCCTCTCCTCTTCACCCTCCCTGTGAACATCTTGTGGAGACACTGGGCCAGTTCTCTGGATAGAATGCAGCCTCCTTCACAATGTAGGCCAGGTGGGGTTATATAGGTACCCTTCCCCTGGAAGGACAGGAGGCAGGCAGGATGGGGAAAGAACAGGTTCCAGGGAAAACAGCCCCTAATTTCCACAAGAGGGGTGAAGCCATAATGGCAGCACCCCAGATGGAGGTTGTGCCTGAGTCCTAGCCATGCTGTCCCCTATGCTACCTCCTTTCTGTGCCTTCCTTCCCCATAAGGAGATGGAAGGTACTGAGTACAGACACAGCCAATGGTAGAGTACGGTAAGGAGCCTTCCTGTCCAGCACCCTCTCTTTGCTGTGATCCCTGAAGTGGACCCTCAGTCTTTGGGAACATGTCTACACTAGGAAAGTGTTTGAAAATAACTTGCTTTGAAATAATAACTCCCGAAATAACTATTTTGAAATAATGTTGCCACATTACAGGGAAGCCACAAAATTAGTCCAATGCTGGCTCCCTTAATGTGGATGTTCTACCTTGATGTAGAGCCCCAGGAAGCATTGGGGAGTAATTTCTTTGAATGACTTTGGGGAGTAGTTATTTCAAAATAGCAGCAGCAGAGCATCCACACTACCATTTCAAAATAACTATTTCGGAATTAGCATTATTCCTCGTGGAAAGCAGGAGTTATTATTTCGAAATAACCAGCCTGTTGTTTCAAAATAACAGGCTTGGCAGTGTGGACGCTCCACTTGTTGTTTGAAAATAAGGAGAGTTATTTCGAAAAATAACTCCCTAATGTAGACCAGGGCTGGGATTCCTACTGCTATACCATGCAGAAGTGAAACAGGCCTATCTGGCCCATGTGTATCCCATGCAACTGAGGAGTAGGGATTCTGAGGACTTGAGACCCTGAATTCCAGACCCACAGTTGAGACCCAGAAAGGGCCTATTTGAAAGAGGGACACAAGGGTTCCAACATCTTTTAGGACAGGGAAATGGTTCTGAAAATATTTGAAATGCCTTAAAATCTCTGAACCCCATTTCATTTCCCTATCTAAGCAGGATTATAGGGACAAGCTCCCATAAATAACCGAATAATAAAATCAGCTATTTTCTCTGCCCTCCTTCCTGGAGTGCAGATGGGCAACTGATCCTTAGCACATGGTTTCCTTTCTCAGAAGGGAGCAGCATAGTGTATCCATACAGAGAAGAACAGGCCATAGACATGACGATTCCTTTAGTCATACGTGGTCGTCACCACAAACAGAATTAGGGGAAGGAAAGTCAGCCTTCAAAATCAGAGTTAAGTAATCAAATATTTATAATATATTTAAAACAGTCTGATCATATTGGTTTTAGGGCAAAGAAAATGTACTTACCTCTTTCTTGACTTTTTTTTTCTGATCAGAGTTCTGTACAGCGATAGTTGAAGCAAACACACAAAGCTGTACATTTCCTGGAGTATCTTGGATTTAGGAGAGACACAGACATATGATTTCTGGGAAGTCAATTATAGGCTTGAGCTGAGAATGAATGCCATCAGGTACAAGGTTTTATCACAGAAGAATGTGAACAAATATGATGTATATAATGTAATAGAAGTGGCATCACTGAGAGAGAAATCCAGTTCATATTAGAGCCTGCTGAAAATTCTATTCTCATGCACAAGCATGATTCAATGATCTAGATTTTATATAATATCTTGTTCAGATTAATGCCACATAATGCACCAACATTTCATTCTATTTCATCTGTTGGCAGAAATCTAACTCCATTAAATATATTATCTGTTCCTACAACAACTAATTTTGTGCTAGTATTTTAAAAGGTAAACAGAGTGACCGGGTAATTATAGACCTGTCAGTCTAACATAGATCCCTGGCAAGATAATGGAGTGGCTGATATGGAACCTGCTGAATAAAGGGGTAGTAATTAATGCCAATCAGCATGGGATTTTGGAAAATAGTTCCTGTTCAGACTAACTTGATTTCCCTTTTTTATTAGATTACCAGTTTGGCTGATAAAGTTAATAGTGTTGACATAATATATTTAGACCTCTTTAATGAGTTTGACATCAGTATTGTACAATACTTCGATTAAGAAGATGTGAGATATACAATTTAGATGGCACACTTTACATAGATTTAAAATTGGCTTTCTAACAGGTTTCACAGTAAACAAGGAATCATCATGGAGACAGGGTGTTTCTGGTTGTGTCTTATAAGAAGGTGTTTCAGGACTTGTGCTATTTACCATTTTTATCAAGGTCTGAAAGAAAATAAAATATTAACCCTGATCAACTTTGCAGATTACACACTAATTGGAGGAGTGGTAAATAATGAATAAGACAGGTCACTGATACAGAGCAATGTGATGTGGAAGGTAAGAGTAATACAATACAGTAATTCTATACATCTAGGAACAAAAGAAGTAAACCCTGATTACAGGATGGGGGGAATTCTATCCAGAGAAGGAGTGAATCTAAAAAAGAGGTGTGGGGAGTGCATAGGCAGCTGAATCTGAACTCCCAGTGTAACAGTGGGGTCCAAAGCGTGAGATGCATAAACAATTTTATGCATCTGGAATCTCAAGGTGTACGACTGCTTCTGAAGTACTGTGTCCAGTTCTGGGGTCCACAGTTGAGGAAGGGTGTTGGAAAAATTAGAGAAAGTATCAGAGAGGAGCTGCAAGGTTAGCTAAAAATAAGAAAACATGGTTTATTATGATGGGCCCAAGAATTAACCACCTTTTTGTTTGATCTTTTTCATTTAAAAGGCAATGTGATTGCAATCTGCCAGCATCTACACAGGGAGCAAATATTTGATAATAGGCTCTTCATTCTAGAAGTAAAAGATATAATATGATGCAATGGCTGGAAGTTAAAGCTAGACAAATTTGGACTAGAAATAAGATTTAAATGTTTAACAATTAGGATAATTAATCATTAAAACAACTTCTCCAGGATCATGGGGGATTCTACATCAGTGGCCATTTTTAATTCAAGATTATATGTTTTTCTAAAGATATCCTTGAGGAATTTTTTCAGCACCTATATTATATAGAAGGTCAGACTAGGGGTGTGTCTAGACTACAGGTTTGTTTTTTTTTAAAGTGGCATTTTTTCGAAAAAACTTTCCCTGCGTCCAGACTGCTGCCGCGTTCTTTCTAAAGTAAATCAAAATAATGCAGCAGTTTTTTCAACCACGGAAAACCTGGTTTTATAAAGAATGTCTTTTTTGGAAAGTGCTCCTTCGAAAAAAGGCTCTAGGTAATGCAAACTGTGCTTTTTCGAAAGTTCTGGTTGTAGTCTAGACGCTCTTTTTCGAAAGAGGCTTGCAGTCTAGATGTAGCCTAAATGACCACAACAATCCCTTCTGACTGAAATGTGTGAGAAAGGTGACTGCTGAGAATTGGATTTTTTTCAAAGGGATCTTTACAAAGGGAATTTGTAGCAGAAAGAGATTACAACATCCACCAAAGTATAGAGATTCACCGAGTCTCTCAGCATTTGTGTCTTCCATGGATAATAGACCTGTTGTGGTTGTATCAGTCTGTGAATGTGATAGCATTTTCACTGCAAGCAGGAAGAACATAATCCTTTCTACACCAGAAAAATTCTCCTGTCCTAGGTGGAGAAAATTTGTGCACTGCATAAATAGTGTAAACTCTATAACGGGGTCTATAATGAGGATTTGACTCCTGAGCCACCTGAGTCAGGTGAAGAAGCATCCAACAATTACTGGAGTGTTAGGCACTACAAAATATTGCTTGAAGAGGCCAGAGAGACAGAATCCTGAAGACCCTGCTTAGTCCACAGTAACAATTTAAACTTAGAAATTGTCCCACAGAGCTGTCTATAATCAGGAATGAAGGCTCTGAGTTTGCTTTTGACTCATGCCATGAATACC